AACGGCGTTACATTGGTTGACCTTCTTGGAGGTCATATGTTTGATCTCCTCACTTACATCCTTGGACCCATCAGTTCCTTAACCGCCCTCCTCCAAAACCAGATCCCATTGATCACAATAATTGGCAACGACGGAAAACCTACTGGTGAAACTGTACCATATGACGGTGCCAACCAAGTTTGTGTCAGTGGAGTCCTGGTTTCCGGTGCAGTGTTCAATGTGAATATCCAATCCGGCGCTAAACAGAGTCCGGATTTTAATTGGGTAATCCATGGAGAAAATGGGACTGTGAGGATTATAGATGATGATAGGATGAAAGTGATGGGGTTCTTTGATGCTTCCCCAGAGGTTTATCTGAACGGGACTAAGGTTGAATTAGAGGATGTTGGCGTTTCTGCATTACCTGTGAACTCCGAGAAATCCAGTACTACTGCTACTGGGTTAGCTTGGAAGGCATATGCGGATGGAAAATCTGGGACGTATGCCACTTTGGAGCAAGCGTTGAAAATGAAGGAGGTTATAGCCGCCATGAAGAAAAGTTCCGAAGAGGGAAGAAGGATTCATTTCTAAGTGGTTTAGAGAGCTGCCATTAATGAACGGTAGTTTTAGCTTACCTCTTATTATTATACGAATGTAGACTTTGACTTCACTGTGTCAAGCTATAGTCTCTCAAATCTTGTAATTTGACTCGACTACTTCTACTCCAGATGACACCATGATCATCCTGAGGTTTTGTCCCCAAAATTAAGAAGTTTGTGTGTGGCGCCATGGGTGGCAGATGCTAGTGAAAGACTTGATGCCACCTACATTTATCAAAGTCCCTGCCGGAGTCACGCTGTGTCTCTGAGTTGTCCCGGATTTGGATATAAAATAGGCGTGCTGCTCGTTTTCATACTATATCGTACCATTGACTCTGTATAACATCGGTGGCTACTGCATTTGTGGTGGCTGTCGTCCAATCTGTACATGTGTAGTACTAGAATCCGCTTAGTCTTCTTTAATTTTTGAGGGCTTGCTATAAGTATACAATCTAGGTTCTACGCGTGCAGCCCTTTCACTAATGTTCGCTCATCTTCAAATTCATGCACCTGCAAGAGTGAGAGCCAGTCTGAGTCTTTTAGATGATGCGCGGCTGCGGTATCCAATATACTTACTTACCCATCCCCCAAGCTAGTTTAAAAAGCGTAGCGAGGATGGGTCACTCAGGAGGAACCCTCCGAAGTCCAGCAGCCCTGGCACTCAAGAGCTAGATGAAACTAGAGAGAGGATGCAGATCAGGGCTCAGGTATTGAAACAGTCATTATACAAAGCAACGCTTGTCGCGGAAGATGCATTATCGGCAACTCGGCATAATGTTTACAAAGGATATGAGCCACCAATTGATAATCATGCCGGCCGATTGCTAAGATTGATTCCTTGAGTCAGCACGGCGTTGCTCACTTTGGTACATTCACTGACATTCAAATTCATGACGAAGTCCCGATGGATAGGGAAGATGAAAACAAGAGCTTGAGAGCTATACACTGATTCTAGTATAAATAGAGACCCGAAGCCAACTCCTACATTCCTCAATATAACACGCTTAACATGTCCACAATCGCAAAACCAATCCGCCTGGGCTTCATCGGCTTATCCACCACAGGCTGGGCAGCCTCAGCATTGGCTCCTCCACTCTTCAAAGCCCCTCTATCATCTGACTTCTCTCTCGTTGCTGTATCGACTACAAATACCGACTCTGCACAAGCCAGTGCTAAGAAGTACTCTGAGCTTACTTCCAAAGTTGTCAAGCCATATTATGGCTCAGCGGAGCATATCGCGGCGGATAAGGATATAGATATGCTTGTTGTAGCCGTGCGAGTGACACACCATAAGGAAGTTGCGCTGAAGGCCATCAAAGGAGGCAAGGACCTCTTTATTGAGTGGCCTGCCGGTAGGAATTTGGAAGAGACGAAGGAGATTCATGAGGCTGCGATGAAGATGGGGGTCAAAACGGTGGTTGGGTTTCAATGTACGGTGTTTTCTTGTTCTTGCCAACCCGATATCGTGCTGATAAGAGATTCAAAACAGTGAGATTTACTGCATATGCATTGAAGGTGCGTTAAATCCGTTTCGTCTTCAAGGGTGATCAATGACCTACCATTTTCAGGCTAAATCTATCATTGAAAGCGGGGAAATTGGCAAGGTAATCGCGTCGTCTTTTGTGAGTTTTTATTTGCGAGAAATTTCGTGTATCGCGAGATTGAATATGGTACAGACTGTCAGCATGGGTCCCTTTTCACTGTACGGGCCCGCCACACTCGAAGGATACAAGTATGTACTCGACCCTTCTAACGGTTGTACATTAGTCGACATCGCCGGAGGACATTTATTCGATCTCCTCACCTACATTCTCGGTCCTATCGCATCCTTAACTGCCCTCCTTCAAAACCAGATTCCATCAATCACCATAATCAGCAGCGACGGAAAACCTACTGGTGAAACTGTATCATTCGACGGGCCACACCAAATCTGCGTTAGCGGTGTCCTGGTTTCCGGTGCAGTTTTTAACGTGAATATCCAATCTGGCGCTAAACAGAGTTCGGATTTTAATTGGGTAATTCATGGAGAGAAGGGTACTGTGAGGATTAGAGATGATGACAGAACAAGACAGATGGGGCTCTTCGATGCTTCCCCAGAGGTTTATCTGAATGGGAGTAAAATTGAATTGGAAGATGTCGGTGTTTCTGCGATGACTGTGAACTCGGAGAATTTCGATACCACTGCTACCGGGTTGGCTTGGAAGGCGCTTGCGGATGGAAAATCTGGGACTTATGCCACTTTGGTGGAAGCATTGAAGGCGAAGGAGGTTATAGCTGCGATTAAGAAAAGTTCGAAGGAGGGGAAGAGGGTTTATCTTTGAAATTTGGTTCCTTAAATGTGGATCTTATCACTTAAATTATACAGATAACTCCGACTTACCTCTTTCTCTAGCCGAGTGCAGAGCGAACCCGAATTCGTGATACAGAGAGAACGTGCATCCGCACCACATTTTAGTCGCCGAGGTATCCATCCAGTCATTCTCTCTCAAGGCAACCGGAAGTTCAGACACTTGGGCTGTCAATAACGTCACATCGAATATCCAGATATCCATCACTAGTTGAGTATATCCACGAGTATTTGTTCATCCACTACAATGCGTCTACGGGAGCCTTTGCTTGGACCTTTGAGAGTTTAACCAGGTTGAAGACCGCAGGTCAAGGTTCGGCAGAAGCTGATTCCATGAAAAGCAGACGAGAGGGTCTACCCACTGCCTCGGCGTGTGAGCGGTACGGGTGAGATTGAGCTAAACATGTTTCCGAGACGAAAGCGGCCTATTTTTGCGTTGGAAATTACTTTAAAAGGGTCTGGTAGATCAATCGATCAAGGCAGATATCCAACCAAAGTAGCTTTCAAGCATATGTGGTAGTTTCGAAACGATTTACTTATGTTTGAATTTGAAGCTTGAGGCCCAGTCAAAAGTCCGGATGGCGAAAACGGACCGGAGCGGATCAAATCAACTTTCTCATACATCTCATCTGACGAGAGCTGCTTGTTTGCCCGACTTTTCCTTCCTTCCTTCCTCCCTTCCTTGACCGAGCTCGACTACCGACGTCAGAATCCATGAAACCGACAACATTGCCAACGATTCCGACAAGTTGAGCATGGAACGCATCAGAGTTGGCCAAAGCCACGCGCCTAGCTAAAGATTTGGGGAATTTGTCAAGTCAAAAATTGGGGAAGAAAGGAAGCAAGGATTTGGGGAAAGTCGATACGCGTGACGTGTTGTCGCTAGTTTCTTCGGTCTCTCTTTCTCTCTCACGTACCACCACCACTACTGCCAAATTCCCTTGCACAAAGCCCATCTCTCTAGGCACGAGCGGAAGTACTGTACGCGTCCTTTTATTCTTTTGATATATATACTGACTTGCTCTATTGGCCAGCCTCTCATCGACATTGATATATTGATACCGCACGAAAATCCACGGCATATCCTAACGCAAAGTACGTTTTGGTGTCTATCCATTGAATTTTTGCTCACTCAAATCTCTTATCAGGTGTCGTCATCATCGTAGGTTCGCGAGGGATATATGCGTGCCGAAATGAACGCTAGGTACCGTTAGCAGTAACGAAAGGTGCTAGTAAGTTTTATTCATTCTTCCTTTAGCTCCCTGTCTAACTACTTTCTAGTCGTAGTAGGAGAAGCCGAAAGAGAAGGACGTGGTGAAGGATGGACAGTATTACTTTTATGCATTGAGCGCTACTGTAACGTGTATCGTCGTATTTACGGAAATGTATGCCATATAAGGCAATGACCTGAAAACTTTCTGGTCCGAGTCACTGGTCCGATCTGAGCAGATTTGCAATGTACATAAATCTGCTTGTAGCGACTCAAATCAGTCAGAACCACTATGGCACACTCTCAACCGTTCTGAGCATATTGACTTTAGCCAAGTGTACAATTTTTCGGACCAGAGCGGATGACAGTGGATCGTACCAACAGTTTTCTATTTTACACGCTCTGGTCCGGTCTGGCCATCCGGACTTTTGACTGGGCTTGAGGCCTTGAGGCCTAGGTGAGGAGCCCAATGGAAGAGGACAGCGGTTGGATTCGATTGCGGTAGCTGAGGTCGTGTATTTCAAATCACACGATTGAGCGCTTATGACGTCAATCGACGCTTCGAGTTTTCTCTCATGTTTCTCTGGTTGCTTTCTCGTTTTCTCTTCTTACTTCTCTCTGGTATTGTGGAAGAGATACAAAGTCAAAGACTATACCGAACTCTGCGGGTAAAACTGGGTGGAATGACACGCGCAATCGGAGGTGGTAGACTTCTCCTTACTTACTTAAAGTACTGGCTTCATCTTCAGCTCAATCTCGCATTCCACAACATAACATGATATCCTCGTCTCGTATTTCGCTAGTACTACGAAATTTTGTACTGTTCCTCGTTGCTCGAGCCACATAGTTCTAACTTGTTCCTAACTCCCTGGTAGTATATCGGTTAGTACACGCGCCTGTCATCAATTCAACGAATTTCTACCGCGCGAAAGCTGGGTTCGACTCCCAGCCAGGGAGATATGTGACTTGAAGACACGAGGTCAAGATTTTTATATCCCAGCATAAAGTTTGAAGATGTAAATGGGCCCAGCTTAAGCAAATTCAAAGTTCTGAACCCATATTTATATATCTAGTACGATTACATGGTCATATACCCGATCTCTAGTGCTTTGATTTGTATTCCCTGTAGTAGATTAAGCAAACACTTCAGGATAGACAGCATAATATGACAGACCAAGTGCTTTGATTGTAGGCGAGAATTTGCAAATCCCCCTGGAGCGAACCATAGCTATAAGCACATTTGAGATAAAATGTATAGCGATCAAAAAGATAAGTTTACACCAGGATACCCGGTAGGCCTATATCCAGCGAGAATCTCGCCTTCCTCATCAATCATCCCGCGTGGTAGTGACTTTGTTTGGCTGATAATGTCGTCACCCAACAGATTCTTGAGGTTCTCTTCCATTGTCCGATACCCAGTACTGCAGATCTCATGAAGAAGCCGTCCATAAATAGATCGATATCCACGCACGCAAAAACGACAGCGTCGGTTTCAAGTGTCGACCCATCATCGAATGTTAAGGAACTATCGGAGAACTTTTGAACCTGGACTCCAGACTTGACTTGGATCTTCCCGGAGATAATCTGATCAGCGCATCCCACGTCCATCCCTGCCACATAGACTCATTAACATTCCGTTTTGAAAGAGAACGACGTATATAATCATACAATATCCTAGAAAACAGGTCCGAAAGAGGTCAGTGAACGAAATGGTGCTACCGAATTTACTACGTACCCCCAAAGCGTGTACCTACCAAGCTAAAGATACCAGCATCGTCAGGCCCCAGATCAATTTGCATTCCAGCTTTTTGTAATCGTTCAATAAAATCCTGCTCTTGCCCCCAAGTCTCCGCATGCTTTCTCCCGCCGGCCAGAATTTCAAGACGACGTCGCAAGGGCGTCGCAAAACTTCGGAAATCAGATACTTCAACAGGTACATCTGATGGGTACGCTTTATGAAGCTGGTCGGCCACAATGTTCCCTGGTTGAACACATGTAGATGAGCGTTGTATCATGGTCACGGATTGTGCTCCTTGAGTGGACAAATCAAGAGCGATGTCAGCGGCGCTATTCCCTGTTCCAACTACCACACAACGTTTTCCTGCAAAATTAGAACCGCCGGAAAACATTGCAGAATGCAGGACCTGGCCTTTGAATAGATCTTGTCCCTCAAGTGTAGGTATGTAAGGTTCGCCTAAGGTGCCGGTCGCAACCACGATGTGTTTGGGGTGTATGGTGATACGTTGTCCCGCTTTATCGATAGATACGGTCCACCTCCTTGTCTCTCGGTTGTATGACGGAGGTGGAACAATGGTAGACCTAGTCCAAACCAGAAGATCTTGCGAGATAGCGTATTGTTCTAGCCAGTCAGCTAACTTGTCACCAGGCGTCCACACTGGCCAATTAGCGGGGAATGGCTGATAGAGCACTGAAAATATTAGGAAATGTATATCCACCGATTCCAGTAAGATAACCGCAGGACGTACAAGTATGGTGTTCCTTTGGAGTGTGAAGCATCAAGGTGGGATACCGGCGACGCCAGGTGTCACCAACACGGTCGTTTCTCTCTACTACAAGAGTGGAAATTTGCATTTGTTGGAATCTTGCGGCGACTTGTAGTCCACTCTGACCAGCGCCGACTAGAATATACGAGTTCCAGGATACAAAACAACTTTAATACTGGTACGACGTACTAATAAGAACTTCAGGTTGCTGTTCTGCAACTTTCCATTTCATTGCTCGTACTTCAGTCCAAGTAGGCAAGCGACGATGATATATGTCCCCTTCTGCTTCTAGCTCCTCATATCCATTAAGGCTGTCTAGCATCAAAAAGACAATACAAGCCTTCCATTCTCCACTTTTATCGTGCGCGAGTTCCAGATGCCCTCTTCCACTAGCAATCGGCGTTGAAAACGTAAATCCCGCCGTAACAGTTCCAGGTATCACTCCAGAAGATGGCTTGAAGTATCTGTCAGAAGCGACTCGAAAGTCAAAGAGTGAAGACTTGTGGAGGTTTGCAGATAGGTATGAAGAGATCTTCTCGTGTCCATGTAGAGTGCGCATGTCCCACTGGAATACGAGAAAGTCTCGAAGCCAACTATCGGGAAGAAAAAGAGATGTGGTACCCTGTGCATCTTTGCGTTGAAGGCACTCTGAGAATTGTGCGATCCATACTGCAACTACTGTTTCAGCTATCGTTGTGGCCATGGGTTGCTGAATAATTTCTCAGACGGACTCAGTATTTATGTATAAGTATGGATCGCCTGACCGAAATACTCGTAGTATCTTTGCGGGTTTCCGAAACAGCGTAGAAAGGTCACACTGTCTCAATATACCGATAAGTTTACGCAGATCAGGCATAGTGTGAATGTGCAAAATGGACGGACACGTAGACAGCACTGGTGGGAAGTTGAGCTATGAGAAAATTGAGTTCTGCAATATAGTCCAAATGTGCAGCTAGGTGCAGCTCGGTGATATAGAGTTGCAAAAGCTTGTGAGGTCAGGCCCAAGCATAGCGAAAGAAAGAAGGGATAGAGTTTGCGCAACGTTGGTGAACGAGGTCAAGTCATGGTCGTAGATTCGTGGCTAGACTTCCGAAAAGAAACAATTTGGCATCAAGATGCCTTGCCGCTGGTCGGTAACCGCTGGCGCCTGATTCGCGCCCGAATTGTACAGTAGCAATCAACCTAATCCCACCATGGTCAGTTTTGCATTTCATCTCTACTCTCATGGCGGAAACTAAAAGTCCTGGAGACTCGCTCTTAAGAGTCTCTATCAATGGCCTCCTGCTTGCTCCTGTAATTTCACTCGTTCTGTTCACATATGAACGTGCTGTTGTACCAAATTATGCTTCAGTCCCAACTAGGCTATTTCTCGCTCACTTTACTCTCCTTGGTCTTATACTTCCGCATATTCAACCCTTTGGAGCGCTGAGGAGATTCTTGACGCATTGGAGATGGTTTATTGCGGGAATAGCGCTTGCCCTGGCACCAAATGCCACGTACTGGTTCGCAATGTTGACGGCAAGGAGGAAAGACCCATATTGGGGCCCAATTACTCTGCACTCTACTGTCCTGTTTCCGTTGGTATATGCATTGGCGAATTGTACAGTGGTCAGTGAGATTACTTTTCCATAAAATCACTCATTGAACCAAGTTCAGTCGGATACCCCCAAACAATTCTCACAAGCCACAGTAAATATCGTCGCGCTCCTTTCGGCTTATCCAATAGCGCGATCTCTTGCAGGAATTTTGGCAGCCCAGACGCGTCTGTTCAATGTGACTAACAGCCAGATAGTACGAGATTTTTCTCCTGTCGTGTACTACTATCCATACCAAGAATTGTCTTCTTGTAGCTTCTCATTCTTTCAGTCCTATCAATCAACTATGGGATCTTTCAAGCAGGTTTTCCATCAATGTCGTCCAAATCCACATCTAAACCGACCAAAGGACAGAAGCAGAAGAGACGACCTTCGTCCTTCTCAGTATCCCCACTCTGGGAGAAGCTTGCCGCTATTGCATGCTTCAATGCTTTTCTCGTATCTATGCACCCGAAACTTCATGCTCCGGTCCTCGCTGATCCCATGAAAACCCTGGTTTTACCCCCCAAGCCTACCGCCGACGGCATACGTGTCCAAATTCTGTCCTCAGTCCAATCGACTAGCGGATTGATCGTTGTTGGAGAGGCAATGTCCCCTCCCAAGGAAGAAGATTTGGAAGCTTATGATGAAGCTGGGACACTACATAGTCTGCGTTATCTCCGGGCCGGGCATTCGCTTCTTGGTGGTGTATGGTTTGGGCTGCGAGCAATGACCCTCACCAAAGAGGATGTACCTCTGATGGACTCTGTAGGTGTCCCCTTAGGAGACTCGATCTATGCCGCATTCGTCCTCCAGGAAGCTGCAAGATTGGTCAACAGTACTACAAAAGCCCCAGAAAACGCGCTGATAATGTATGTCTGCGCGCATATTGTCCCTTGCCAATTCTGACGTTTCTCATCCTCAGTGGCCTTGGTACGGGAATCGCAGCCAACGCATTCCACCGACACAACTTGAGTACAAGCATCATCGAAATTGATCCAGCAGTGTACAGCGCAGCTCGTAAATTCTTTGGGTTTCCTGATCTTGACCCCGACAATGTATTCTTGGAAGACGCGCGAGGTTGGGCCGCTCGCAAGCACAGTGAAATACAGGAGGGTGCAAACAAAGAACCTGTTTTATACGACATCGTTGTACACGACTGCTTCTCCGGTGGCAGCATTCCGGAACAGTTGTTTTCCGTAGAATTCTTGCAAGATTTGAAGAGTGTCGTACATCCTGAGGGTGTTATCGTGGTAGTGAGTACATGTTGATTCCATTTATCTTCTCAGTATGGAACTAACATTATATGAAAGAACTTCGCAGGCCGTGCAATATCGGAAGCCTCCCGTCTGATTTTACGCACCCTTGAAAAAACCTTCGGAGGACAATGCAAAGCGCTCTTCGACTCTCCCACCTACGTATCAGGAGAACAGCTGGAAGAAGAATTCATGAACATCGTATGTGCTCATTCCCTGATCTTTCACTTTAGTGCTAATAACACTGTGTAGGTTTTCTTCTGCTCGCTCTCTTCAAGGCCACCCACATTCCGATCTGCTTACGTAGACGACGCTCTCGGATCGCCAATCCGAAAGCACATCTTTGCTACCTTGCATTTAAGAGAAATCGACCTGTCGCTGTTGAGAGAAGGTGATGAATTGGATAAGATGAATGGGCTGCCGGATGTGATAACCGATGCGAATAATCCATTGGGGAAGATGCAGGAGGAAAGAGCGCTGGATCATTGGAAAGGCATGTCATTTCACGTTCTCGTTCTTCTACAGCCTTTGCTGACTATCTGATTTCAGTGATGAGGGGTGTACTCCCCGATGTATTTTGGGAGACATTTTGAATAAAGTTTCTTGGGTAGCCTCTGCGAATA